AAATACGGTGCAATCAGGGAACAATAGAGAATGTGGAGTGCTTTGTGGTCCAGAATGTGTTTTACTTTACTCAAGATTGAGACACTTCTTGAAATTTTGTTATGTATATGTATCTGACTTTAATCAGAAACTGAAGAAGTTGCGTAGCTGAGGTGTTAAATATATTTAAGAAGATGATAATTATGTTCTAACTACAAATGTTGTATTTTATTAATACTTTATATGGCGCCAAATCACAGTTGCTTCAAGAAGCTTTTTTTTTTTTTTTTACGGTAAAGATCCTGCAATAGTACATAAAAAATCTGAACAATCAGACGACCCCCTATGAGCAAGCGCTTGGCGACAGAGGGAAAGAAAAACTCCCTCCTAAGAGGAAGAAACCACCAGCAAAGCAAGGCTCAGAGAGGGGCAGCCGTCTGCCGCGACTAGTTGGGGTTGAGGGGAGAAAAGAGAAGTGAAAGACAGCCAGAGATTAATAATAGCCAATGATTAAATGCAAAGTGGTGTATAAAAATAGAGGGAGTTAAAGGAACACATCATGGGAAGCCCCCAGATGCACCAAGAGTCTTTCAGCCTCAGTTGCCTGTATGACCATCGCAGATGAATATTAACTTGTCCCAAAAAAAGCTGCATATTCCAACATTTGAGAAGCTGCAACCAAAATATGTTTGGCACTTTGCCTAATTATTAAGTGAGATTTTTTTAAAAAGAATTTAGAGTAAGATGAGTCTCATCAGTGTTGTTTTGCTTTCTATGTTTGTTTCTTACTAACTGTTTTGTTTTCCTCCTTAGGTGAGTATAGGCTGTCCAGAGAAGATGGAGCCCATTACCAAGGTGTCCCATATCCCCGCCAGCCGCTGGGCTCTGTCCTGCAGCCTGTGTCGAGAGCACACAGGGACCTGCATTCAGGTATATTATCAACGCTTTGCCCGTCTATCTCATTGTCTTCAAATGTTAAAAGAAAAACCCCAAAAACAAAAGAAACACAAGCAGCATTCAAAACGTCCACAGGTTCTACAGTGCTCCAGATTATGGGTTTCAGTTTTTGCTTCTTTTCCTTCTCTGGTTGCTAAATCTCAACTACCAGTTTGCAAACAAGTTAAACCAAGATAAGTGAGGGTGTGATTTCAACAGCAACAAGTTTCCTCTTTTTAAATTATCATGGAGCCTGCATGCATGCTGTACATCAGCCAGAGGTGGTTTGTGAAGGTTTCCACTATGTGTAATATTTATTACAAAGGGTGAAACACTGATCCATGAATTTATTAATGAAGCCTTGCAGGTAAAAAGACACAAAATGAGCACAGCATGCTCCAAACACAGCATTTCTCTCATCAAATTATTGTAGTTTTTAGTTTCCTGATAGGCAATGTGGATGTGTTTGAAGCGACTGCTTAGTATGCAAACACAGCCCCTGCTGACACACTTACACTAACCCACTTCACAGACATTAGCCTGTGCATGATTTAGCTTCAAAAGTGCCCTTAAGGTGAACCGCAATCCTAAAGCATTGCAATGCTTTTGCATTTGCTTGCAGCATATGCACATCCCAGATGTATGTACTGGTTACGGACGCGTGTGTGCGTTTGCGCATCGGCGAGGGTGTTTCCTGACAGTGTATCCCTGCTGTAGACTATCAGCGAACCCCCTGAGTTGGAGTCGTCCGTAGGGAGAGTCTCACTCTCCTGTTTCCATAGCTGAAAGCAGACTGCTGTACAAACATACTTGCTAATCAGTTGAGATGCTTTTCTGCACAGCAGCGCGAGCAGCAGGAGTTCTTTGTAAACCATGTTGTGGAGAAAAGTCGGAAATAAGAAATATTTTTCTGCCTCGAAAAGTTTCAGTCCAGGAGAGAAAATTTCTTTTAATCTATTTTGCCGATTTAAGTGTTTGCTGTGATTTGTGATACAATCATTGTAGATCAATTGCAGGACAATGTATTCACACTATAGCAGACATTAAAGCACAAAGCATGTGTTACCACTGATATCTGTGTGTTTTTAATGTTGAGTAGGTCAGACAGCTTCAGCCTTGAGTGTTCTTCACTTCGGCACCACTTCTAATAGTGAAATCCACTTTTTGAAGCCTTCGTCTAATGACACCTTGTCCTGTCTCTTTTCATGCTGAGCTACTAACAAGCATCTCAAGCGCTCATAACAAAGTATACATATCTAACAACCATTAGCCAGGACGTTCTGAGTTAAGAGTCTCTTAATTAGTATTCTACTGAAGATCTGTGCACTAGAAGGTCAACCAGTGCCACCTGTACTGTATATGTAAAAGAGATTCTGTGTACAGCTTTTAATAATGAGATTGTTGTAGCTCTAAGTGTGCTAGATGGATTAAGTGAATAGAAGAATTTAATTTGCTTTATTATGACTCTGGTTATTCCCATATCAAGCGGTGGACATCCAGCAGCTCAGATGTTGGAATGTCATAGGATTGGAGCTGAATTCTGTTTAAACATACGGAACTTTGTTTTAAAGTCTAGTCCTGTGCAGTGCTGCACATTTTGTTATTGAAGGGATACCAAGTAAATACAGGGCTAGTATTGCGAAGAACAATACTTATACTTTCAACTTATAAAAGCAACTTATGTAGTAGAGATTTAAGAGATGTGACCCTTAAATCACAGTTTTTTTTACTTTCCACGGTTACAAAGCACACACATCAGCCTTTTATGTATTTTGAAACTGGGCTTTTTGGAGGAAATTTGCCTGCTCTAAAGCACTTTGGATCAACTTCTGTTGTTTAAATTTGCTTTAGGTCAAAAATAAAATAGATGTATTGGGAAACACAAAAGGGTTATGACAGTTTTCATAGTGCATGTTTGAGGTGTATTTTTTCATTTTCAAAAAAGAAAACAATTTAACACAATTCAGTGGGCTACATTCTGAACTTGGAGGATAGAAACAAACTATTGATCCTGTCGCGCTACAATACTAGTATTGTTATCAATACGATTGACTATATTGACGATTGATTGACATATAGGGAAGATGCTTGAGATCTTTCAAGTGATCACACTGATTAGTTACTGTAGGTCCAAGCTTCTCTCTAATCTCTGCCCCTTTCTGGTTTTTGGGTGGGAAAATGGTGCAGTGGTTAGCACTGCTGCCTCACAGCCTTTCTCTGTGGAGTTTGCCTGTTTATGCTCCCTCTGGGTACTCCTGCTTCCTTCCACGATGCAAAGGATTGCATGTTAGGTTAATTGGTGACTCTAAATTTGCTAAGGGTCCAATGTAAGTCTATAAGCTCCAGTGCCTGCATGACCCCGAATTGAATTTGTGGTAATATAACGAATGGATAGATTTGTTTAAAATTAATTATGGAGAGTGATGGAAAATCGGCTAAACCTAAAGCTGAAAAAGATGGGAAGTTGCTTCATTGATTTTTCTGGTTGGTTTGTACCAAATACATGTGCAACAAAAAAAGAGAGGAAACAAATCCAGAATTTTTCAGGGCAAGGAAATGTTGATAAATCGCAAGTTGATACACAAATTAAAAAATGTTCCAGAGTAAAGTATGAACAAACCTCAGTCTGAATAATGTCGGGGGTTTTTTCTCAGTTAAGTCTTGCAAAGATTATTTTAGAGAAACATGTTTTCTTCACAAACAGAAGTAGTCGGCAGCAGTGTGGGCACTGATAAAAGCATTATTAATGAATCCCTGCCAGAACAGAGCAGGTGCAGTCGAAAAGGCCAGATGAGTATTTTTTTCTTTTTCTTTTGTTTTTCCTCCGATGACTTGGCTCATACCAAACAACACATTTAGCCAACTCCACGCTGTGTTCAACCTTTTGCCACCGAAAAAGTGAGAGCAGCTGCAGTGGGCTCAATCTGACATTTGGTTGGTAATAAAAAAAATGGGTTTACAGTGGAGACCTTTGACCGTAACTCCACGTTTTATCAGGGTGTTGTATTTATTGGGGTGTCTTACACAGGCTAAGCATGTGATTATTGGATCACACCTTCTGTTTCTTCATCACTGGCTTTATTTTCTTGGTGATTTATCTGTGCATCAGGTGAAACTGTCAAGCTTTAGCAAACAGTGAGTGTAGGACTCAAGTGCGGGACCCGGGCAAGACGAAGAGAAGTAGAGTGCATTTTGAGATTCTTTATTCGCTTAGAGACATTGCACATGAACTAACTTAAATGAGCTCTTACTCACTTTAAAGAAACGTAAACATAGAAACAAACTTTATTTAAATACAAGGCTGAGCTCAGCTGAACATATGAATGCAATTGACTGGAGAGAGAGGCAGGCATGAGGCGCGAAGGCAGGTAGCGAGGGTAAGAGCTGTGAGACAAGAGGACAAGTTAGACAGTGCAGAGGAGGAGGAGGAGGAGGTGAGTTAGGCAATGTTGTCCAGAGGATTATTGTGAGAAAACCTTACTTGAAATCCGAGGTAGTCGGGCCAGGGGAGGGTGCCAAAAGGGAGAGGTTTTGAGCCCGCAAGGAAGCTGGTGAAGGGTGGAGTGTGGGAAGGCTCCGAAGAGTGGCAGCGGTGATCCAGCAGGTGAGTAATGATCTCAAGTGGCAGCAGAAGAAGTGGCATTCGTGAGAGGTGAGTGGTTGCACATGGATGTGAGATCCGGGGCTGGCTGGCTTAGTGGAGACGAGGAGAAAAGGCACGGAATTACATGAGTAACAGATCATAAGAAAAAGCAAATAAAAACAAGATTAGCCTCTTCACCACGTCGGGTGAGCTCATAATCTGGCGGAGTGTGGATGGCCGCGCTGGTCTTTTTGTTCAGCAGTTGATTGCTCTGATGATCAGCAGGTGACCTGAAGGGGAGGAGAAAACGTGGTTGCAGCTCCACTCCGATGGGGTGGAGGAAAACAGCTGCCTTCTAAACCCACATCTGGCAGCTAACTCATTGGTCAAAGCTTCTTATGACAGAGAAAAGCCATTTAGTTTTACCTTAAAAAACAATAAAGGACAAATTAAACTCTTTAAACATGAGAATGTACACGAAAAGCCAACCAAACTGTCATAATGATTTGAGGGCTGTGCAAAATCCATTAGAGCCAAGGTTTCTTTGCATTAGCTAGCTTGAAAAACACCTAAAACCCCAGTTAAAAATAATGGATAGTTATCCACTGTCTTTGTTAACCCAGGCTGTGTTTGTTGATCGCATACAATGATGTGCCACTTCACTCTTCTTTGACACAAAATGGATGGATTGAGTTAAGCCTGATGAGTCAAGATAATCAGGTCATGGAAAGAAAATATGGACATTAAAAATATATATATGGTAAAAGCTAGCAGGTGTTGCCAAGAAGACAAAATGGTAATACTGCAGAATGTTCACATGCTTGTGCTTGTGCATATGCAGTCATTTCAGACTGCTGCACATCAAAAACAGATTTCATAAACATGATCACTATATCAGATCTGATACAGTCCCATAGTGAAAAAAATATGGAAATCATTTGTTTTTCGTCAATAAAGGTAAAATTCATATAAAATATATGCACAATATGAAGTGGGACTTAAACAAGTGCTGTGAAATAAACTTTATGGGTAGAATGTTGTTATCTATTGGACACAATATCTTGGATACATTGTCAAAGTTTTAGGAGAAAATTTGCCACTCAACAACCATCTTGGTAACAAAGTGGCAGCTGTGGTAAACGCTCACTCCATTTGTAACTAAGATGGGCAATTATCAGTTATCATAAAGCCCCGAGTCAAATAAACAGGGAGAGATATAACGTGAATTCCAGTGGTTACCAGAATATAAAACTGTCTAATCTGATAAACAATGAAATAGTTTGGTGATTTTACCCTAAAATAAGGTTTCTTTTTTTTGTCATCTACAAAAGGCGTGTATGCTATGCACAAAGTTACGCACTATATGCTATATCAGTGTTTCTAACTGTTTAGGTGTTTATGGACTTTCTTCACCATAGCACAAGTGTTCTGCTGTGCCACATCATACATAAGCCGAGAAACAACACTAGGCACGCTTGCATCTTTGGGTACATGTCATCCTGTACCCTTAGCAGAAAAACGCCTGTGAGGATAGTGTTCTTTTTGTCATACTTGGAATTTCTCTTTTTCCAAACATGGCAGGTTGAGTTGATGCCAGAAAGCTCGATTTTACTTTCATCTGACCACAACACTTTCTCTGAATCATTTAGATTTTCAGTGGCAAACTTAGGCAGGCATGTACATTACCAATGCTGTTAACAGTGGTGTTTCTTGGCAAACTTAAAAATTTTAGCAGGGGATCAGATACTTACAGTGGTTTGAAAAAGTGTTTGTCCCCTGATTTATTTTTAGTTTTTTTTTGTATACGTGTCACACTTAAATGTTTCAGATCATCAGACAAATATAATATTAGAGAAAACACAAGTAAACACAAAATGCATTTTCTAAATGAAGGTGTTTATCATTGTAATAATAATAATTCATTTATAAACTGTAATTAACTTGTGTTTTAAGAAATCGGGAAGGGGGCAAACACTTTTTCACTTCACTGTATTTCCCCCAGTGTACAGGCTGCCACACCTTTTGAACTTCTAGGGTTCATCTGCTTTAGCACAATAACACAGTAGGTTTATGTTTTCTCATTTTGCTGTTGATTGACTGTTTGTAATCAGTAGTGTTCATATTTGCTGTTATAGCACTTCCCTATAGATTTTGTAACGGGGTTTGTTTGAGTGGTAAATCTCCCTCATAATCTCTCTGATAATGTATCTGGTAACGTTAGGGAAAGAACTGGTGAAAATGTGGTATTTGCAGGCAGTTTTCAATAAAAACCAAGCTTGTCGTGCTCAAAAGACTAAAATATATAACAGTGACTGTACAACTTGACATATTGAGCCAATTAAAGCAAGGAGTCTATCATCATTATCCACATTGGGGAATAACACACATAGGAGGTCTCCATTAGTCAGTTTGCGGTTTCACATGGATTCACATGCTGTTTCACAAATCATGTAAGTTTAATGCAGGATGTCTCTGTTAATCCTCCCACACACAAATAGGCTCTAATATTAAGTCCATAAAAGATGAAATGAGAGTGGGTTCATCTGGATCTCTCAGCATACCTGAGATTACAGTCGCACACTTTTCCATGTGCTGCTGAAGGTTGTAGTGATCGATTGGTGTTCGGGCTGATGATGACCTACTTTAGTGTGACAGTAGAGAAGACTGCAGCACAGTCCAAAGCCAACCCGAAGTTCAAGCAAAAAAGAATATGCTAGCCAGTTATGTCTCCTTTTTTGCCTCATCGTACAAACCACATTTGGAAATGCCGAGAAGCCCAACGCCAGTTAGGACTGGACTGTTTCTTTGGTAGGAAGTAGTTCCAATTAAAACTTTTTAAAGCTTTTTAGAAAGTTTTTATGAAGCATAAAAGCCAAATAAGGATAAGAGAAATAAAGGGAGAGAGACATTTGTAGAAAAGTTGTTTTCCAGATGGTTGAGTCGGTCGGATCAGTGAGGGTTTTTTTTTATCATGCACTGCAGTGCAGAGAGTCACCAACGAGCCTCCTGCCGAATCCTGAACTACTTTGATAAGTGCAGATCTACACACACACTCACACATACTAAAAAAATGTGCATGCAGCAGTGACACCAGTACAGTCACAAGGGTTCTCGCTTTCTCACACACACACAAAATCGTAGCATGCCTGGAGGGACTCAGTGGGAGGTCAGCTCTTAGTATGACCTGTAATGGATAGCACTGAGAAACATGCACTCACACACATATTGAAACATATCCCAAGTTACCAGAATGTCAGCAGAAATGGGAAAGCTGTGTTTGTTGTGACTTGGTCTGTCTTTCTGCTTTGCTGCACTTGTTCTGGAACCTTGATAACGCAATAAATGAACCGAAAATGACAGCTTAAAACAAACAGGTTTGACAAAATGTCTGAGAACATGAAGACATTTTTTTTTATTTCTGTGTCCCTTAACTCAATTCCCTCTCTGTCCCTGCTCCCAGTGCTCCATGCCCTCCTGTATTGTGGCCTTCCATGTGACCTGCGCCTTCGATCACGGCCTGGAGATGAAGACCATCTTGGCCGAGAACGACGAGGTGCGCTTCAAGTCCTTCTGCCTGGAGCACAGCAACACCAGTACAAACACCAACAGCACCTTCAGCTCAAGCGGAATGAGCAACGGCAATCACGTCACCGCTTCCACCGCCAACGGAGCACACGGTGGAGCCAGACCCGAGTGGGCCGCCCCCGGTCTCACCTCCGAGCTTTGGCAGGACCAGCAAAACGAGACAAATGGCAGCAGCGATCCGGAGCAGAGGTCGGTATCGCACCTGGTTTCAGTGTCGGCGTCGGAGCGGGCTGAGCGCGACCAACTGGAGAGAGAAAAAGTGAGCCAGAGGAAGCAGAAGCTTCAGGAGCTGGAGGATGAGTTTTACCGACTCGTGGAACCCAGGGAGGTTGCCGAAAACCTGGGGCTGCCCGTCTCCCAGGTGTGTTAAGCTAGGACCCTACAGCTTCTCATTAAGTTATAAGAAATGAGGTTAAACACTCGTTGCGATAGGATAGGTACGCCTGTATGTGTATCAAAAAATACCTGCTCCTCTAGGTAGTGACTCGGGTATAGGCACGAAGTGCACAGACATGGTCAACAAGATGAGTGGCTGAAAAAACTCACTGATGAGAGAGCTCATAATAGCAGCACTTGTTCCTGCTAAGAGGGAGCAAGTATGCAGATACTGTGACTGCTCAGTACAGCAGCGACGTGCAGCAGAGCATTTCAGAACGCCCAATTCACCGAAGCATGAAGCCGTTAGGAAGTGCCGTTTCTGTCCAAAGAACAAAAAGCTGAAGGCTCCTATTGATTGATGAAATCTGGGAGAACATTGCCTAGTTGGAAAAATGTGTTTGTGTTAAGAGTATAAAATTATAGAAATATGAGAAGACTAATCATGTACTTGCCTCGATTTAGCACACTGGCTCAAGTGTTCCCCATTCATAGGTATTCGTAGACCGCATGATGAGTTACAGGTATTTGTTTAGACCATGCTCTGTTCTGCTTTCCAAACATGGACGCTGCTGCTGGAAAGTGTTTTCTTTTTCTTTTTTTTTTACTAGGAAAGCTAAACCATGGATTTGAAAGAGTTCTTTTTTTTAAAAAGAATTTTTGATACTGAGTCAACACTTCAGGGCCATTTTGGGTTTTAAAAATATAATAGAGCTGAGAGAGAGAGGAAAAAACTCAGGTATTGTCTGGTTAAGGTCACAAATCTATGAGAAAATATTGTTGTGTTGTCAAAGAACCGCTTTTCTTTTTTTTTGGCGGTTTTGGGGCCCCCATTTTACCACAGTGCCTCAGTGTGCTTTGTGTCTTGCCTGCAGTGTATGATCTAATAGAGGTATTCATTGTAGTTGGATACACTAATGAAATACTTGGGATTGTAGCCATGTTGTCAAATACCCAGACTTTGAAGAGTCATTGCTTACTCAGATCATGAGTGAAACGTTTTTCGTAGTGCTGCACTTCTTTAATGTGTGCAGTCCTGGTTTATTTTCCTTGGTGTAAAAGGTTGATCCTTCAAATGTGAATATGAATGGGGATTTTTAACAAAAGAAAAATGTCACGTCTACAATCATGGGGAAAAATGAAGTTTTCACAGGACTCTATACAGCCCTGTGAAAAACTCAGTGAGGTCGAACAACTCTTAGCGTCAGTAACTTCAAGTAATTATTTTCTGTATGATTTTATCAGCCTCTCAAACTGTTGTGGAGGAATTTTGGCCCACGTTTCTTTAAAAACAGTTCACACTCCATGTGTGCACACCTCTCTTAAGGTCCCACCACAGCATTTCAATCAGGTTAGGGTCATTGCAACAATGATTCTTCAGCCATGCTGTAGTTGTCAGACAGATGGACTCACAGACAGATGGACTCACGCCCTACACCAAAGTACTCTAGAGTACTTTGGTGTAGGGCTGTTCGATATAACAATATATATCGGATGACGATATAAAAACGTCTATCGTTTCATTTTACACTATCGTTTGTTTCGTGGTGTCGCAAAATAAACTGTTTATGGCAATATTTTTTCATCGTTTTGATGTTCACTGTAGTGGCTATATTCATTTCTTAAAGTTCTCTCTTTCTCTTATATGTAATATAACCACAGTGCTGACGGACAAGCGCCTGTTTTTATGCGTTGTCGTTAGCAACAGCAACGGTAACACCTTCGCGTGTCTGCTTGTTTATGTTCCACATAAACCTTTCACAATAAAGCTCAAGATCCTGTTGAGAGTTTTCAAAATAAACTGAATCACGTGAAAGAGTATGCAGAGTATTTACCGATGAGAAGCAAAAAAAGGAGCCGCCAGGTGCTAAAAAATAAACCTTAGACTCAAACGTTAGAACAGGCTTTTCCTCGCAGCACGCCGTGTAATAAATACAAAGAAAACGGCGGCCGTTACAACTTAAGTCTAAAAATGTATAGTTTCATGCATCGGTTAAAACACTCGACTCCGGGTAAAGGACGCGCAGCTGGAAACACTTCACGCAAGTCGAGCTGCCCGAGATTCACAGAATTTACAGAAAATGTTAAATTTTTGTGATTTATATCGTTATCGGGATGATAGAATTCTTATATCGGGATATGAGATTTTGGTCATATCGCACAGTCCTACTTTGGTGTACAGAGGAGTTTCTGGTCAACTGAATGGCTGCAGAACAAGCTCGAATCATCACCCGTCCACCACCATGCCTGACAGTTGGTGTTTGTGTTTGCATTATACATCATGGACAAACATCTCTACTTTGGTCTCATCTGTCCTAAGGACATTGTTCCAGACGTCTTCTAGTCTTTTTCAGATGCAGTTTTGCAAACTTAAGCTATGCTTTGGGCTGATTTTGTGAGGATCCCCATTCCTGACCAGCAAACTACCAAAACTCCAGTGTTTATAGCATTGCTCACACTTGCTGATGATCAGTTTATCAGGTGTATTTGATTAGCAGCATCTGGTGGCTATTTAATTTTAAAAAATTCCTACAGTATTGAGGCTGTAATGGTGCACCTAGTTTTTCACAGGACAGCAGAGAGTCCTTTCTTCTCTATGTGACTATATGTGTATTTTGTAATTTTGTGAGACCTTTGTAAACATTTTTCTTTGACTTTAAAATCACAAAGAATATCCAAGTATTTGATCCTTAATTTGAGAAAATTATAGTCATATTAAACTTAACAGTAAAGTTTCCAAAGCTGGATGACTTTTTGAAATAAATCTCCTGCACAAATGTGCTCTAGAATTTCACAATATAATGCTTCAGTGCCTCTAATTCACAATTAAAAACAACAAAAAAAGAAATAGTCTGAAAGCACAGTACAGTGGCCTTCCATGTGACCTGCGCACAAAGCACAAAGCGCCTTCATTGACCAGATGCTCGCACTGATTTTTAACTTCATGAAATTTCTCGCTGCCATCTTTGACTTGAATTGAAATCAAACATGGCAGCGATGCGAACATTATGATAGCGTAACAGGTAAATGTGTGTCTACGTTTTAAGGTGGACTACTTATATCAGTTCTGGAAGCTGAAGAGGAAGGCCAACTTTAATCGACCTCTGGTGACCTTAAAGAGAGACGAGGTGGACAACCTGGCCCAACAGGAGCAGGACGTCCTCTACAGACGCCTCAAACTCTTCACACACCTCCGACAAGACCTGGAAAGAGTGAGTTGGACAATCAGATGCAGACGTTGTTTCGATGTTTGTTTGGTATGAAGCCAAAGAAAACTTGTTTCTTTGCAGAGTGCTTTATTCTGGGATCATTTCTTTCTGTTCGTGTGTGTTCGGTGTGTGTGTGTGTTTCGAACATGTGCGAATATTCGTGCTCGGTGCTTGATCCATCCCTGTATCGCTGATATAATTTCCGAGTTAATTTACATTTTTCCGAATGTTAATTAAAAAGATCATTGACAATATCATATGAAGTTGATTTTTGCTCTCATGAATATTGATGTTAAATGAATGAATGGCTCAAAGGATGACGGGGTAATGAAATGACTCAGGGATATAATGAGTGACTGACTGATAGCCAAGTGTTGGAAATGTAAGTGAAAATCCACCAACTGTGGAGAATTCATTTGTTTTTTCTATGATCTGTGATCATTGTGACAGATTAGTTACTTCATGTAAAAAGTCAGCGAGGTACTCTCGGAATTTCCTCAGATTTGTTTGTTTGTTTATTTGTTTGCCGTGTTTTTCTCTCCCACTCTTCTGACTTGGAGAAAAAACTTCACAGAAAATTCAGTCTCAAGTGACCCGGAGCACAGGAATAGCATACAGTACGTACTGTAAAGTCCCTCGGGAAGTGGAAATTCAGCTCTATAGTGGAAATTGGTTCAGACGTTTTTCGTTTTCGTTTTTCTGAGAGCCTGTGGGTTCGTTTTGTGATGCTCCTGAGCCCCCTGCTTGGAAACAGTTTGTTATTCCCCAGAGAAAGAGATGGTAATGCTTGTGCAGCTGCCGTGACATGGAGAGAAAGGCTTTGATCTGGAGTTTGTTGGTGGATACCAGAAAAGGTGCTCCGCAGCGACTCCCTACTTTTACTGAGGCACCTCAGATGGTTTCTAGCTTGGCCCAAATATGGTAAATTTCATGATACTGTCAATTTTTAGAACTGAACGCATGGTGTGATTTTTGGGAGTGTGCTACATCTACACCTTAATTGTTGATGAGTTCAGGTAGACCAAGTGTCCTAACGTAAGAGCGAGCTAATGGGCATTAATTGTACTGGAGGCTTTAAACCCGGCGAAGAATACTTTTCCGTCTTCTGTGGTTGTGGAAGCAGAAGTTCAGGGAGGCTTTTGAAGCTTTAACTGCTAACTCTAATTAAAGGTGTCTGTGGATGAGGAAGTTGAAAGATCTAATGGAAGCCTGGCCCATCTCTCAGGTGAAGAAATTTCAAAGGGTAGTTGAGATTCGTCTCAAAGTGCTGCATGTTGTGTTGCATTCGTAGTAGCCGTTGTAACTGGATTGATCACATTTTGGAGGGTTAGCAGCATCTTGGTGCAATGAGAAACTTGTTGATCTATTTATGGAGAAAGGAGGTTATGGAAGTTTTTTTTTTTTGCCCTGCCCGACACAATGTTCCTTAACATTTAAATAAAACACAAAACTTATCATTATCTACATGAAATGTTTGCAGCTTGTAGTTTGTAACTGTAGCTGCTAAGAGTTGAGGTTATTTCTGAATGCTGAAATATTCCCCTGCTGATTTCAGTATCAGAGCTTGCATTTGGCTGCAGAATGCGCACTAATATTTTCATTTTTTTGCCTGGTTTCTTGAATTAGTTGTGCCCATTTTCAAAACCTCACTCCAGAGCTCTGTTAGTACATTGGCATTCTCTGCTGCGGTTGCAGTGCGCTCAAAACCTCTTTCTGACCCTGCAAACTATACAGGATCTAAATTACAGCGAGCAGCCAAACATCTACCGCGGCCAAAATTTAGGGGGATACACGTAAATGCGGTTCGCTAAGGACATGCGGCAGGAGTCCTCTGGGTTTTTTTTTACATTTAGACAACTGTTTATATCATTCCCACAATGAAAAAAAAAATCTTATTATATCTGCTTACCTTCACGTAATAAATTACCAAAAATGTTCACTGCAGAGAGATTCTTAACCCCTGGATATTTCTGTCAGCAGAGTCTAAGGTGCCTTGGTTTTGTTCAGCTTGGTTGATTTAATTTCGTTCATAGTAAGAAAACCTTTTGGTAATTAGGTGGCTCCATATTAACCAAATGACCTTTCTGCACAAAACTAAAAGAGTTCAAATGCAAACACAAGAGATAATTGGAGATTTTTTTTTTTGTTAATTGCTCCTTAGTTTTTCTCATTTAGCCTCAGCTGGTAAGACCAGTGGACTTAAGTTCAGTGCTGATTAGACCACCGGATCAGCGTGCTTTGTCCAGCATCCCACGGTGTTAATTTGGCTTTTAGATGATAATTCCTCCACCTCTTAACTTAAAATAATCACTTCCCACAGAGCCAGGTTGTCATTTCTAAACAGTGGGCTGAACTTTTTTATGTAGGTCACTTTTTATTTGGGTGAGCCAAATAACTGAAAGCCCTTGCTATACTTAGATATTCTGTAGCTGTGCAAATCACTGTCGATGTACACTATTTTCTGTGATTGGAAGACCACTCTACAGATATGTAGAGAATTGTGTAACTGTAGCCACACCGCAGTGGTCTCTGGTGGTCAGGGTTTATTGATTGTTGCAGTTTTCTAACCTCTCAACCAGTCAGTGTGTCCATAGACTCCATAACTCTTCTCCCTCCTGACCACCCATTATTGATGTGTGTGTGTGTGTGTGTTGTAGAAGTGAACCATACCACTTCAGCTTTCAAAAGTTAACTCTCTTCATTCTGTCACAAAACAGCGAAGCAGTCAGTAGGAAATAACAGTTGAAACAGCTTATTTACTCAGAGTATGTAAAGATGGTGCCTACGTGTACCTCAGTGTTCGAGGCAACTGCGTCCTATTTGTGAAAAATGCAAACACGTGGTGGATTTAAAGCAGTCCATGAACACATGTTGGATTTAGCTTGAATATTACATCCAAATATTGCAGATTTATGGGTAACATCATTTGGCTTTCACTTAATACAGAAATGTAAATAAAAAGGTCGTCAAAAGAGCTTGCAAAGACAAGCGTTTGGACTTCTTTAAGTTGCTTGAAGATGTTTCACCTCTCATCCGAGAAGCTTCTTCAGTTCTAAGGTCAAATGGTGTGGAGTCCCAGATTTAAACCTAGTGGGAGTATCACCCCGCAGAGGGATGCCCCCCATACGCCTTAACGCCCACTCACATCCTGGGCCATCTGACCTCAGGAATTCGCATGATAAGGTGGGGCCAGGTTTCACAATGAGCTCACCCGAAACCCTGGCTGATTGGGACCCACACCCAGTTTCACACCTTGGCTCAGGCAATTAGAGGATCATCAGGGGGTCCTTTTGTCCCTCTGTGGGGGGATACTCCCACTAGGTTTAAATCTGGGACTCTCCACCATTTGACCTTAGAACTGAAGAAGCTTCTCGGATGAGGGGTGAAACGTCTTCAAGTAACTTAAAGAAGTCCAGACGCTTTTCTTTGCAAGCTCCTTTGACTACGATGACCTGGATGACTGAGAACCTTCACAGACAAATAAAAAGGTCATTTTTCTGTGATTTTTAATGTTCCATATGCCTTCTTTTATCAAACAAAAAACATTAGGAATAATAGAGAGACTGATTTTATTTATAAAGCGCCAAGTCACCACAGCAGATGCCTCAGCGCTCTTTATATTACGAAGGAAAGACCCTGTGATAATACAGATAAAAACCCAGATGAACCCTATGAGCTGGGAAGGACAAACTCCAGGTAGAAACCTCCAGGAGTCCAAAGTCAGCTCTTAGTAAAAATAAAATGCTGTGCATACTGTAGAGGAGAGGTTTTGGTATCACTCTGCTCGGCACCGTTCAGCGTTCTGTTGAGACGCTGCTGCTACGGCAACACTGGGAAAGTGACAGTTGTATTTGAT